ATATAATTATTTTATATATAAAAAGATTTAAATGATTTAATTAATTATTTATTTATTTTATTTTATTGAGAAGCATAAGTTTGGAAGTGTTGATATTTAGCAATATTACACTTAATTTGTATGGCTTTTCCATACATACATTGTCCAAATGATTATGTTATGAATATTGTGTGTTGAAAAATCCATGATGATTGGCTAGTTGGGTGGCTTGAACTCGATTTGTTTATATTTATCTTGCTACAAGCATAAGTTAAAGCTTATGAATTGATGATTCATTGAGTCATGTTTTAAGTGATTAATTGAGTTGTGTTATTGATTGTGCTTGTCATTGAGACAAGTTAAGACTTACAATGAACTTAGTTGAGTCGAGCTTGGTTTGAGCACTTGCTTAATACATTGAGTTGAGCTTCAATTGGGATTGAATTGAGCTCAACTCATGCCAATTGAATCCCCATTTGACGCAGCTGAAATGAAGTAATGTTATATTTATGGAAAAGCTACAACAACAACAAGAGCAAAAACAAGTCTTTATCCCATTAAATGGGGTCGGCTTCATGAATCTTTTTTCTCTGTTGTGTCCAACTGAGTGTCATATTTTCATTTAATTCTAATAAATTAAGATCATTTTTTATACAATATTCCTAAGTCTTTTAAGGTCTACCGCTGCCTTTCTTAACATAAGTCGAATTTATAACATATATTGTCTTAATCGAATCATCAGATGGTGAATGTTTAATATGACCAAACCATCTAAGACAACTCGCTCTAATCTTGTCCGCCACTCGAGCTACTCCGAGTTTTTCACAGATATATTCATTTCACATTTATTTTCCAAGTGTAAAACCACTTATTCACCTAAAGATTCTAATCCAAGGAACACTTAAACTTTGTGCCAAAGTAGTCCTCGACTATTTATATGGGATAATTTTAATCCCAGTTTATAGAAATGTCAAAATAGTTTGCAAACTCTATAAATTGGAGTTGAAATAGTCCATGTGAAGGACTATTAGAGCACAATTTTAAAATAATTGAGTATTATTTCAACACTGCTATGAACTCAGGGACTAAAATAGCCACTGTAAATAGTTGGGTACTATTTCGGCACATCACTCTAAAATTATTCAAATATTTGAACATTGTTTCTACATATAGCTTGCTATGTCTCCTAATAAATTTGAATAATGGTAAATGAAGGGGGCATTAAGAAAAAACAAAAAATATATTAATGGCATTGCCTTTTCAACTCATACTATCTCCTAGAATTTATAGAGGATTTACATGCATATTACTAAATATTTATATATTTAAAATAAAAAAATTATAATTATTTTCTTAAATAATAATTTTATACAATACAAAGTATTATTAATATTAATTTTTGAGAAATAAAAAAAAAACTTACATGTACTTTGACTTTTTCTATAATTAGAATATTATATGTAAATAATTCGCATTAAAATTATAAATATGTACATACATAAAAATCAACATGCAAAAACTATATATATATATAAATATTTATACATGTTTTTGGGATAATTTGTTTTATTATTTTTTTTCTATTTTACAAGGTAATAATTGGGCGCATTAGCTGTAAAAGTAACTATTCATTGTGGCAATAAATTATTAATTACAAAAATGTACAAAAGAAAATTCAGCTTTTACAAAAATCCAGACTAGCTGATGCAACAACTTTCAAACTCATTGCATTTCTAGACATTATAATTATAAAGTTTTACAATTACATCATATTTTTCTATGGTAAATTAATTAAAAATTATATATCTAACCTTTAATATTCAACTTTTACATCATGTAATTTTCGTGTAAATTGAGAATATGCCACTCTTAGAAAATCTAATTGCCGAAATGAGAAGAGCATGATAAGAGAGGACCCATTGACAAAAGAATGTGAGAATCACTTATCCGACCGACTGAAAGTAGCTCGAATCGTGCAGTCATAAACGAGAGAAAGAGTTATCCGAGCTGACTATTACGAAAAAGCTCCAGTCCCTCAACATCTCTAATCATGTCGTGGATGTATAGAAATCATCTCATCTATTATCAAAGGCCGACAACCAGACTAGACGTGCCGATCGAAAATGCGACGAAGCCCAACCAAACAAATGTTAAAGCTGTGATTTTGTCGATTACAGCCAGAATTCTGAGGCTTGGTAATATTTTACTTAAAGAAATGCAGTTTCGGTTGTAATGGAAAGTGAAAGTTCGTTTATTAGAATGCAGCTGGTTTTATAAAAATAATTTGATTGTCTCTATTGAGGATTCAAACAAAAGGAAATTACAATACAGCCCACCTAGTTCTATGTATTTACACATTTAACCCTATGATTAATATTAAATATTTAAAATTATTTTTAGAAAAATATAGCATAAGAATAGTCTGTGAAATATGATTTGTTTCTAGGTGCTTTTTTATTGTTTTTTTTTGGGAAATTTACATAAGTACCCCACAATTATTATATATTTACATATATAACATTTAAACATTGGTGTCATAAATTTATGCATGTAAATATATGTTTCGGTTTAAAATAATTAAAAATAGTGATGTTTTTGATGGGATGCTAAGATTTGAGTGCTATGTAAACATGAAAGTTTGGGGGTTAGATATGTAAATTTAGAAGAATTATATGATTTGTATATAAATACTCATTTTCTTACAAAAATCATGCTTGAAAAAAATAATTAACTTCTTAGATTTCCTTAATTTGGTATGTTGAGATTAGAAATTTTAATTAGAATTATATATAAAATTTTTATAAAATAAAAATATAACGAGTCAATCTCGAGTTAGTTCGAGCTGATCCATATATGACTTGAAATCGGCTCGAAAAAAATTTGATCCAAAGCACCGGCTCATATCTAATTTTTATGATTTCTAATTATTAGCTAAATGAATAAAATAAGTTTAAAAAAAAGTTTATCATATCTTGCGAGTAAAAAAAAAATACTCGCAAGATATAATTTTTATAATATATATATAAAAGTTGTTGATATATATATATAGTGTGCCTGTGGGTGGCGTTGGTGAGCAGTTGCGTTGTTGTCAGTCGTAAGACCAATCTGACCCCAATTCGATCCTAGCGGGAATGGATAATACGTATGAGGAGCGAATTTGGTGCTAAATTTTGTGTTAGATTCTGCATAACACTTCGAGTAAATGTAGACAACCAAATCCATGAGCAGAGAAATGGAGTTGAAGCGTAAATGAATTCAACAAACACGTGTTGGCCATATTTATAAAGGCTAGAGTCCGTAGTCTAATAGAGTATTCACATCATAAGTGGCATTAATGTGTTAGTTCAATAAAGATATATATGCAATCGGGCCCATAAGAGCAACAATATAGCTAAATGGGCCTTTGAACATCTTGGCCTATCAAGAGATCCAACCCAGAAGGACGACAAGAATGGCCCAGCCCCGCCAACTGGGACGTACATTGGTCGAGAATGAATGGGCAGCCATAGAATTCTGCTTATTTGCATGATAATTATGGCTGTCAAAATCGCTCGTAGTTCATGAACAGGTCGTGCTCGGCTCGTTAAGAAATTCGTGTTCGGCTCGTTCGCTAAGTTAACATACCGAACACGAATAAAACGAACAAATATTTGTTTGTTCGTGTTCGGCTCATTTTGGCTCAAAATACTACTAATCAATTTTTTATATATATATATAGTATTTTAAAGAAATCTAATTGACTACAAGGCTACAAAAATTTATAATCAATTAAAATATTGATTAAGAAAATAGAATAAAAATTATTAAATTAGATTCAAATGATGTTTTAATGTAAATAATAATCTTTAAATCTTGCTCAAACCCTTATTGTCTTATGGTTCAAATGACACTTTGTTCGTGAACAGCTCGTGTTCGGCTCATTAAGCAAACGAGCCGAACACGAACACACTTTTTGAGCTCGAAATATAAACGAGCCGAACACGAGCTGAGCTTGGCTCGCTCGTGATCGGCTAGTTTGCACCCCTACCCCTAATGATAATATAGCTCTCTTAGTTCTCTCTCTTATTTCCGTGCTCTAATTTTTATGTATTTTGATGGTTTGCAGTTATTTTATTGAACAAAAATCTATTTATATTATTAAAATTGCATGCTGCTTATAAAGTAAAATGAAAAAGGAAGATTTACATACATATCACTGGATTCCAATATTGTATTTACATATATAACCTTTAAATTTTAATTTTTACATATATGCCCCCATACCTGGCATGAAAGTGTTTATGTCACCTTTCGAAAGTTAAAATAACAGTATTTTTATGTGATATGATATATTTTGAGGGTAAAAATGTAAAAGGCAATGTTTAAACCTTAGATATGTAAATACATAGGAATTTAGTGTTATTATGCACGTGAATGCTCAATAAAAAAATTACTAAAAGTGCAAAACATGGTTTATAAGAGAAGGAAGGCATTTTTGGTAGGTCTTTGATTTGTAATGAAACATGAAATTTTCTATTTTTATGTTGCTAAAATTGAGAAAAGAGATAAAACGGACATCTATTTAAGTATTTATAGGTAGGGATGTTAACGATCAGATTTCGAGTCGAGTTGCGGTCCGATCGAACAGATTTAGTGTGGTTTGTTTTATTCGACTAGTGGCTTTTTATATTCGATTTCGAGCTAAGTTGCATTGAAGTTGAATATTTGGCTCTACGTCAACAAAAGCTAGTTCAATTTGAGGTCATTTGGATTCATTTCAGCTCGACGTCAACACAAATCAACTCAAACTTGAAACTAAATGACTCCAATTGAGGTGTATGACGACTTGGCGCACTGTGGTTGGTCTGACGTGCAGGTGTCTAGACGGATTATTTTCTAGTTGTACAAAAGGCTATCGAGGGTAGACTAAAAGGTTATTGTAATCGGGTCAACAATTTGCTTATTTCGATCATAGTTCAATTTAAAATTTTTTGTTACAATAGTTTTGCTAGCGCGGGTTTGAAATTTAGTTTCAATGTGATTTTAGTTTTATTAACATAAAAAATTTATTAGTTTTAAAATATTAAAAAAGCATATATAATTAAAATTTTTCTATAAATTTCTGAATTAACAAGTTTATATTATTTTAAAAATTAAAAAAATGTCTGAGTAGAAGATGAGTATTTTGGTACCCATTTTTATAAATAAAAGGGATAGACAACAGTGTGCAAATTATAGAGGAATTAAGTTGATAAGTCATATTAATGGGAGAGGGTAATTGAACAATAGATTAAGACGTATTACAAAAATTTATCATAATCAATTTGGATTTATGTCAGGGAGATCTACTATGGAAGCTATACATTGATTGAGAGGTTTGATGGAGAAGTTCAGAGATAATAAAGAGGATCTACATTTGATTTTTATTCATTTAGAAAAAGCTTACGATAAGGTTCTAAGAGATATCCTTTGGAGAGTTCTTGAGAAAAAAAAGTTGTTGATATGACTTATAGTCAAGTCATTAAAGATATGTATCCTAGAGCTGTTACTTGTGTTTAAAGTGAAGGAGGATTGACCAATTACTTTCCTATTTCTGTTGGATTACATCAGGGATCGGCTTTAAGCCTATATCTTTTTGCTTTAGTTATGAATGGTCTTACTGGACATTTACATGAGTATATACCTTGATGTATGCTTTTTATTGATGATATCCTTCTCATGGAAAAGACTAAAGAAAAAGCCTAGTAAATACTTGAATTATGGAGATTTACATTAGAGTCTAAAGGCCTTCATTTGAGTAGAACTAAAACTGAATACATTATATGTAATTTTAGTAGCAGTAGCTCTAGTGATAAGTGTAATTTTGGGTGAGCAAATTATTAAAAGGTGTGAATGATTTAGATATCTCAGGTATGTTGTTCATAGTGATGGTGATATAGATGCGAATGCTAATAGAAGAATTTAAGTTGGTCGGTTGAAATAGAGAAATGCTTCGGGCCTTTTGTGTGATAGAAAAATACTACGAAAGAAAAATTTTATAAGATGGTGGTAAGACCTGCAATGCGCAATGCTCTATGGTGCTATATGGTGCTATATGTTGGTCTTTAAAAGAGAAGCATAATACTAAGTTAAGTGTTGCCGAGAGGATAATGAATATAGGTGGATGAGTGGCTCTACACTTAGAGACAAAATGCAAAATGAATATCTTCGTGATAGGGTTGGTGTAACTCTAGTCACAGACAAACTTAGAGAGAGTCATCTTAAATGATTTGGTCACATTAAATGTCGACTATTTGATGATCAGACTAGGAGAGTAGATGTTTTAGACTTGACTTATGTTAAGAAAGGCAGAGGCAGACCTAGAAAGACTTGGCTTGTTGTATAAAAATTGATCTTAGTTTATTACAACTAAATGAAATTATGACACTAAATAAGACTCAATGGAGAAAAAGTATTCATGTAGCCTACCCCACATAATAGGATTAAGGTTTTATTGTTGTTGTTGTTGACAAATTTATATGGTCCGGGGCTACGAACGATCTGATTTCGACCCGATCTAAAGGCAGCTAAGGCAGCTCAAAATCAGATCAAATTTATTTTATATGGATCGACTTAATTAAGTCATGATCGATCAGAATCGAAATTGAAAGATTTACGAACTGGCTCGAATATCATTTTTGGATCATGAGCAGAAAAAACACAATTCATGACAAACCATAGAGCACAAAAAAACAGAATACTTGGGTTAGTGGGTGTCTATAAATTTTCAAAGCCCAAAAAAGCCGATCACTATGATCAGTGATCACTACAAGTTTCAATAGAGGAAAGATGACTGATCAAGTTGAAGAATGTCATGAGTTGTATTTATTAAGCCATATATCACACACCACACACGATAAAACGAACAATTGGAAATCGGAAAGTGAAAACTTACAACAACACCCACCATCGTCGACACGTCGAAACCCCACCAGAGGGGTGATCAGAGGGGTGAGATTGTGAGATCGGCTAGATGCGAGAGTGAGAGGGGCGAGACTAGTGGTTGTGAGTGTCAGAGAGTAGAGACGGGAGACTAAAGGAGAGAGGTGTAAACTTCAATCCATACAAGCGGACCCCAGCTCGCCTCAAAATCCAAACATTGACGGTCCTCATTAGAGTCAAAATATACTTCAACTTCTTTTGATCCATTCAAATCTATGGTCATTACTTTCTTATATATATATCGACAAAATAATAAATCATTTTTTTGACTTTTGAGGGAGGGCTTAATTCGTCTTCTTCACCATTCACAATCAAAACCAAGCCTAAGAACTACAAAACAGCTGAATAGTTTCGTCATCAGCATGTTCCCAAAAAATATTAAAAAAATTCTTACATAAATCAAATCACTTTATAAAAATCTAAGCAAAATATTGAAAAAAATCAAAACAAATTAATTATTGCAAATTTACCAAGTTTTCACATATGCTTGAGCCTTCCAACCCTACTCTTCTCTAACTTCCATGAACTTCCTCCCACCATGAACCCTAATCATCACATCCTTTCTCACGCCAACATCATATTTACATGAAAAAACTCTCATCCCCATCACCTTCTCCTTCACACTCTTCCTCTTCTTCCCATCTTCTTTCTTGTAATTACACTTCGTGCACTCCATGAAAGCGGCAAGAAAAGGATCATCCCTCTTCTTCATCCCTTTTTGTGCCGGCAATAGCTCGTGCGTCGGCATGAACGGGCACGGCGGGAGCGGCACGTAAATGATGCGGCGAGCGAGTGGACTCGATGAGTCGGATGCTGTCGAGCATGGAGGAGGAGGCAGCGGCGGTGTCGACCGGGGTGAAGATGAGCCCGCGTTGGTTTGGTCATGGATGACTTTCGAGATGCCGGGCAGATGCTCCCATAGGAAGGGGATGCTGCCGGAGGAGGAGGGAGTTCGCCGGAGAGCGGTCATGGCGGCAGAGAAGAGGGAAGCAAGTTGAAGGAGAGGGAGGGGTTCAAGTGGCATATATAGACTTTGGAAGGGAAGTTTTTCCTCTTGTGGAAGTCAAGAGAGATTAAAAAAAATTGATTAGTATTAGACTAATTAAATTTAGGATAGATGAGGAGATTGTTATTAGTTTTTTATTATTTTTTACCAAAAATTTTTTTTTTGAATATTGAAAATATTTTATGATGTCTTAAAAAGAAAAAAATATTTAATAATTTATTAAAAATATTAAATTTTGTTTTTAGAATCTATACTACTCCTAGAAAAATTCTCTTAATGTAACCATCTTTTGTAAATTTTTTAGTGTCTTAATAATGTTACAATCTAACTATATTGAGCTCATTGAATTTGTCTTGTTGAGATACTCGATTTGAACATGAACTTATCAGATTTGAAATGTGTTTGAACTTTTAACTTACACTGAAATCTTTCAAAATAGTTCATTGACTTCATCTAGGATTAATTTGACTCGAATTCGACTAATTTCAATATCATTATGTTCCTCTCTTCGAGCCGATCAATTTGAATATAAGTTTTGTTGAATTCAAAGTTCTCAATGTTTTTTAATTGAAGCCTGAATATTTTTTATTTAAAAATTATCTTGAATATTTATGTGTCTTGAGATTATATCTATTTTCTTAATTATTTTTGAGATTTATGAATATATATTAATACTAA